ATATATATATATATATATATATATATAATAAAGCATTAAAAACCGACTGCCAGATTGAAGCCATGATCGATGCGTTATACACAAGCATATACCTACACTATACAGATATAGTATAATTGACTTTAGATAAGAATACCAATGCGATCAGATAGTAGAATCAATTTAAATCCCCCCAAAAAAAAAGTCAATCTCGCACGTACCCATAATACCTGAATGCGCAGCATTATCCAAGCAAAAGATCCGCGTGCATTGTAAACGCTCGACAATTGACCCCTGGTTACCCGTTAACCGTTAATTCCACGTTAAAGAATCCTCCGTTGTATAATGGCAATATTGTAATGGCGGCCGGGCGAAGATAACTCGATCGTGAAGAAAGGTCAAGTTCAATGGTGTCCACCTATTCGAGTGCACGTGTTGCATTATTTAATCGCCGCGCAAAAGAAAGCATTGAATTTCACGTAGCTCGTTAGAAACATTAGGCAATGTTATTTATGCTGATTAGATGGAATTTACATGGAAGGAATATGCAACGACGTGTTAACGATTACCACCCTAACCCTTATCAATGGACAAAATTCCAATATGTACCTCAAAGAATTTTCAGTAAGCTCATTCAATTGAAAATGAATAATAATAATAGCAAATCACGAAAATCAGCTGATTAATTAAATCAACGCGTGTACGTAATAAAATCTTAATAGAACGTGTCGTACGTGTATTAATGAAGTTACGTCAGTGGCGCGTATACATAAAAGGAGGCAAAGCCCTTACAGTATCGATAACACGTGGGGACCCGTCTGTACTTACAATTAGTATAGTCCTGGGTGGATGGGGTTTCTACATACGTATATGATATTTGTTATATAGCATAGTAATGATACACCGTATCGCACGTCGCGTGCAATTCATTTGGCACGAGCGAGATAGCACGGGATTTGCATGTACGGTTGGCTCTGTGCTCTGACCAGGTAACAGATGGTACCTGTCGACAGTGCGAGACTATTACAATATTAAATGCTTCAACAGGTTCGAATGCTCCCGCGAGCACGAAAAATTGACGCGCTTAAGATAAGAGATTGCACTTCTCGGAGAGACGATGAGCCGCGACTCCTCGGTTTAGTAAGTTTTAAGAAATTTAGAGTTTTACTGGATTCTGCTACCTCGGTTGCTGTTACATTGTGCAGTGTATTTGTATACGTATATATTAACGCGTGTTGAGTTTAAATAATGATAATTTGTCGAATACCTAAAAACTTTTTTATTCATATTCAAAACGGAGGATCGCACCCATGGAATATATCTGTCGATAATATCGACAAGTAGCTCACTCTTGAGAAATGTCAGGGTCACTTTCTAACGGTCTTCCCGTACGGTCTCTTACGATTAGAATGTTTTACTGCTGGTGCCGATCGTAATGCGTACGTACATTTAGCCACGTGGTACGGTGTCCTATAGTATGTACGTAATAATTATACGAATTGCTTCTCTCGGATATACCAACCGATACCCGCACGGCTAATCTAAGCTGTTAAGCATTGAGAAAGTTATGCTGTCCTTACAGCATAACTGCATAAAATTCACCGGATCCTATAGGCTCTAAGCGTAATTTCCATACGCATGTACGAGACATTATATGGATGCCATTGATTTTTTTTTTTAATTTACTATCCCAGTTCTTAGGTGTGGTCCGTGTTATTGGTAAAGGCGTTTCTCGGCAGTTCATATACGTATGCACATTATATATAAATTGTATGCTTATACTGTAGTCTTTTGTAATAATTGAAAATTGGGCTGACACGTGACCAAAAAAAAAATATAAAATATATATCGGATTGAAATTTTGAGAAAACAGAGTATTTTGAAAAATATCCTTTCTTTTTCGTTATTTAAAGACGTATCAGACAATCGAAACGTATCGAAACGAAAATTTTGGAAATATTTATTTTCAAAAGCAACTGTTCCATGAGTGGCTAAAATGCCGGCGGCTATGGACGTGACTCAATGTCAATACGTGGGTGGACAAAAGTCGAGCGAAACGCTTTAACGACGACTTTTACACGAAACCAAAGACTTCACTCGAGTACCCTTTTAATGGAGTTAAAAAAATAGTACGCAAGGTCTATAATGGTATGTATATCTGTATGTTTTTTCGAACTTAAGAAATAATGGGAATGTTCGTACTTGCTACGTAATAGCGTAGCAGATATATGCAAATGAGAGCGTGCACCTCTCGTCTGTAATCGCTGTACGACACCCACGTGAGATGAATCGAACAACCGGGATGATCACGAGAAGATGGTTTGTAAGATGCTGTTGCAGCCTCGTCGTAAGAACCAGGAACGATCACAAGTCCCGTGCGAACTTTGTTGGTTCTCATATATATGTATATATCCGACTTAATTTGCTTTAATTAATATAAAAGTACATCAGGTCACTTAACGTGAGACTGGAGGTTAAATACCGTAGGCGTTACGTAAAATTTCGTGGGATCCACATATGAAATTTTTTAAGCGTGATTAAAAGGTATCTTTTACAATATCTTTTACGTATACGAGTGGATAAACGAAATTCTCTTATGCAAGTATAGTTTTTGAAAGAAAGTTCCAATATTTCATAAGAGCCTTAAACCACGTATGAGTTGGCAATTATCTTTTTTTTTTTTTTAATTAAAATAAATTTATATGCTAAAAGGTATAACTGGAGGAATGACGTTTTGAGTGAATAACATAAATTCATATATAGATATAACGATCAATATTGAGCTTGTTGGTTTTTATGTCTAATGTATCAAAGTCACGTCAATCTTATTTCGTACGCCACGTGCATGATTTTTCTCAGTCATTAAACTGCAGAGTCGTTGCGTCATCGCGTCACATCTTTATACCTGCAGGAATAAAGTGCATAAAACGTTGCTTTAATGCCATTTTATATGGACCGTTATTCTTACTAGACAGACAGGTAAGTATGGTGTACATAGCATAGAAAAAAAAAAGTAAAGCTCGCAGTGACTATGCTTGACTACAGTGAATAATCGTAAAAGTTAATAACAACCAATTTGACATTTATGAATTATTGAGTAGAAGAAATTTTTGAAAATTTGACAAAATATTGTTTCGTAATTTTTCACCGTTTTCAACAGAATTCTTGGGTGAATTAATCGGAACAGAATTTTTGGGTGATTCAAGTTACACGGTATTTAGTATACCGATTTTAGAGGTTAGGATTCATTTATGTTTCGCTACGCGCTGGCTCTATAAGACTTGAAAACACCATTACCAAGGTAGGCTGTAATATGTTGACTGAACGAAAGCCAGAATTATACACGGTTGGGTCATTAACGTTTTATAGATTAAATACCAGTAACGATCTACTGGTCGTATCACGTAATTTCTATGCGATACTAAAAGCCATTCGATCGAGATAAGATTTTATTTTACTTTTAGTCTTCTGGGCGATTTTAGAAAACTTGACCCTGAAGTGAGGCAGGAATAGAAATTAAATAGTATAATTTCAAGGCATGGGTTATTCTTGCTTGGCAGCTGCAGCATCCCTGTATCCATATATGTATAGCGAGTAGACACCATGGTTATCATATGTGATTATAATATATGTAAAATCATAACGCACGTGCATATCCTGCATGGAAGATGCTGCGTGGACCACTTTGTTAGTTTTATCTTCATTTTAATAAATGTCTTGAGACGCTTTAAAAAATATTTTATCTTGCACAGGATTTTAAATGCAGTACGATAATCATTCGTTTACTTGGGATACATCCGTTTCGTGCCGAATCATAATATCTCTTTGGACCACAAACGACACACCGTTCATTTCAATTATCGCGTCTGCAGATGCGGCAGGCTCTGATCGTCGGTGATCTCACACCGTGGAAACGGGTTTTTGACGATGGAGTTAGCTGAATACAGTATATGTCACAGTATATGTCACAGTCATTCATCTCATATGAATGATCATATTGCGGACAGATAATATTTTTTTCTTACCTAAATATACAGATTGCCCAATAATTACTGCAGATGCAAATACCGACTGGTTGAATGTGATCGAAATAAATAAATTTGTGATTAAATAAATAAATTTGTAAAAAAATTTTTTAATAGAAAAAAGGGGTCCAGGAAGGGATGCTGGGAAGAGGAAATAATTTGTGGTTCAGTGAGGACGATCTGAGAAGATTAATATGCATCTTGGCAGATGGTTTGAATCGAGCTACGATGCCAACCTGTTGACACTGTTAACTGGCGACCCACGCTTTTCCCTAGCAACGTGGTACAGGGTCGCGTCTGATCTCTTCCGTGCTCTTTTTATCTCTGCGACTCTCAGTCATCTTGCGTGTCTAGCTGTATCTCTTCTTTCAAATTTCCCCCATTCATTGACGGTGCAGCCCGTCAAGCGCATCCTGCACCTGGCTACCTGCTGCAACAGTGCTATATTATCCGGCTGAAGGGAACAAAATAAAATGCACCACCTGAATGGTCCAGTGGCTCAATGACTCAATGGATGCTGAGGTTGTCACCTTTCTTGGAAGGGAGGAGATGAGATCGAATCTTCGCGGAATCCCATTCGGAATATCACAATGGAACGGATACGACAATGATTCCTGGCTAAATTGATTCCTTGGGAAAGCATCGACAATAGCACAAGATTAGGCGCACTTGTATTCAAGGATTTTTTTTTGTTACGATGCATAAAAAGTGAAAGGGGACAAAAATATTTT